GCCCGGACACCACCACGCCGGTGCACCAGCCAGCCCGGCGCTCTCCCGTTGCTGCGACATTCCATGTGGGATCGCTGGCACCGCGTGCCCGGGAGCAGAGCCTGCAGCACAACCTGCATTTCCCACCGGAGGATCCAGCGGTGCAGGGCCAGGGCAGCCGGCCCCAAAACGCTGCTCCAGAACCTCCCCCCGCACCCAGTTCGTGGCAGCTCCGCGCCAATGGCACATCCTGCAGCCTGACCCCGGGGCAGTTCTACAGCTGGGGAACAGCTGGGATGAAGGCAATGGCAGCAAACGTTTCCTGACACGTTAGCGACGTGCCACGGATCAGAAAGAATCCCTAACGTTTGTAATGACACCCTGGAGGTACCAGTCACCCCGGGGCACACGCAGAGGGGAGCTGTCCTGGCTGCACGTCCCCAGCCCCTGCGTTCAGCACAGCGACATCCCAGCTGTGGAACACCCCTGTTACACGTGCAAATGAAGCCCTATAAAACAACACGGAGATGATAGAAATGGCGTTAGGGCCGAGCCCAGCTCTGCCGAGCTGCACACAATGCAAACAAATCCCGTTTTTTTCCTGCCGGGACATTTATCAACACGTGGCAACCCAGGACTAACCTGACACGTGGAATGATCAGTGTGGATTGTGACACCTCGTCTGTTTGTTTCTATTTACTTCAGTTAGGGTAACACTCGGCAGAGTGCAGAGGAGCCCTCGGGACTGGCACCTCCAGTGGCAGTGCTGGTACCTTCCCCTGCCTGCCACTGGGAATGCCAGCTGCTCTGCCAACTCCCAGTTTTCACTTGTTTCTCCACTATGAAGTGCCAAGTTCTGAGCTCAGATGGAAAAACGTGGACCAAAATTACGTGATGTTTACTGAGCAGCCTCTACCTGAACCTTAAAATAAACTTTTTGAAGGCAAATTGGAAGTTGTTCCTGAAGCTGCCGCAACAAACTGCCCGGGAAGGGACCGTGTTGGATCAGTTTTATTGATTCATGCTCCCAGTTCTTACTCAGTTAAAAACAAGGCACATTAAATACATCCTCTTATTGCTCTATAAATGCATGCGGCCCACCCTGCATATCAAAAGTAATAAATAATGGCAGTAAAACACCAAGACAGTTATAAAAATGACAACCCAGCCTGAAACACAGCACTTAACAGTTCAGCCCAGAACAGCGACTAAGGGAACACCCCAGTGTCCTAGGGGCAGGGGTACATGTGTGGGTACATCCATGCACAAAGATCCAACCCCCCCTCCCCTTCCCCAGGCGTGCAGTTTATTTCAAACACAAAATAAACCCCCCACCCAAGAAATCCAGCTCCTACCTTAGAAAATACAACAACAACAAAACAAGACAAAAAGAAGACAGGAATCACATGTTCTCCCCCCTCAGATCAGCACGGTGCAAGACACTGATGTTTGACAACTCTTTCTACATTCACAGGGGAAAAGAAAAATAAAAGGAACAACGAAAGCAACATTCCTGAAAAGAAGTGGTAGGTGATAAATAAATACTTGTAGGGTTTTTCCGTGGCTGGGCTCAGCTGCTGTCAGTAGAGCAACACATGCAGTGGGCTCCTGGCACACGGGCCAGGCTGTGCCACACAAAGGAGCAGGGAAGCATGGCAGGGAAGTGCCTGAGATGCCAAGCAAATTCCTATCGGGACACAAACACACACACACAGAGCCCAGAAAATCCCAGAGTCACATTCTGTATGCAGAATTACTGAAACAAGAGAACAAAGAGTAGACTTTGGGTACCAAGCAGAAAATCCTGCCTTTGCAGGTAAACTGGTATTATTAATTCTTAACAGTGCCATTTATAGAGGAACGGAGGAGTAATTTTCTTTAAACCATAGAAAAGATGTTAAATATTTACAATATTTATCCTTGTGTGGCCTGGAAAAGGTTTCATTACTTTTATTTTTTTCTATTATTGTTAATAGTAGAATCCTCAACCCCTTCTTGCTCACTGAGCCAAAATAACCTGGGTATTGTACATTAATTTCCCTCCAATTCTGAAGTAACTGTAAACTCTGTTACTATGTTCTGATTTGAAAAGGGTTTTGAAAATACAAAGCTGTGTCAAAGACCACGTATTTTACCTGAACATACTTCCAAAAAGAAAAGTTCACAGGACCACAGAAACAAACCCCTTTGTTCATTAAAAAAATTCTGACTTTGTCAAACAGGCTAACTCCTCCCCCACACAGACTGCCCCCCAGGAGGACAGGGCTGGAGACAAAGCAGCCACAACCCCTCAGCAGGGTCTGCACTCTGGTGCCAGGCTGTGCCAAACCCCACAATCCAACATGCAAAACCTGTCTGGAAGGCTTTTTACCCCAAGACCATCTCCTTCCCTCCTGATTTCACCAGCTGTTTGGACTGACAGGAACACAACCACTTACTGAGCCTTAAATGAGGCTTGTCCTTTTTTCATTTGTTGTCTCTACTATTCTGAAACACCCCATTCTTTTTTCTTTCCCCCGAGGACTCTGCCTCTCCAGCCAAACACATCACCTGCACCTGCTGCCCGAGGTGCCAGTGCTCCTCAGCAGCTCCAGTTTGTTGGTCTTCTCCTCCTGCCTCTTAAAATACCCCAGTACTCTTTTGCTGGTCATTCCTGCACTGGTACCTCCCAAAAATGCAAGGGGTGACACCCGTTAAAACCAACCACATTTTGCACAGGGCAAAATGCTGACACCTTGGAACTGATGCTTGTTTTGGGTTGTCACCTGGGATTTGTGAACTTGGAGAGCAGAAGGACAGATCCATCAACAAACCATTCTGGTGCTTTTCCCTTCCTTGCTCTCCACCAGGCAGAAATCTTGACCCCAGTCAATCCAACAGCAGAAAGGCAAAGAGCCAGGTACAACATTGTTGGAAACAGCTCAAGTGAGTGGTCCTGGTTTTATTCTTTTTTTTTTCAATTTATCTGCTGAACAGTAGCCCTTTCACAGAAAAGTCAGTGGCACCAAAACCAGGTCTCATTTTCTCACTCTGTGCCTGAGCATTTTAAATGAACAATTAAGACTGCTATGGTATCAAAACCTGCCATATTCTACAGTGCTTGTCCAAAGCTGGAAACAGTATGAAACACTCTGCAGCAGCAAACACCACCTGCTAGACACTGCTATTTATTAAAGGAGGCTTATTTTTATGAATACAGGGGAAAGGAAAGCTGTCTCCTAGCTTTTACCGACATTATTAGCTTGGGTGATTAATCAAGATGCCTCGTAGCTTTCCAGCTTCACACTACTCAGATTTTTGTCTGGCCAAGTACTGGTACCACTGCAAGAACAGCAGGTGAAAGAGGAAACCCAACCTCCTGCAGAAGGAAGGCTCAGGACAGCTCTGCTCCGTCACCACCACCTTGGGAAGTGTCAGTTTTGCTCCTCTTGTGATACCATCTCCAACCCAGCACATCAGCTTTCCCCCTCTTGCTCTTTGTGGAAGAGGACAGAGCAGCAGCTGTTGAGGCCTCAGTACATATTTGCAAGACTCAACGTGATGCACTGAAAGGCAGGATTCACTCTCTGAGCATCGCTCTCTTCCAAGGTGATATATAGAAGTTAGTGAACAAGGCAGTATGTGCATGTGTGCACCCACAACTTTCTGGAGTGTATTCCTGAACTCTTGTTAATAAGCTCCTATGTCTAAAGAACACCCAGTCCAAAGGCCACATATGGGAGTAGAAATCGTATGGAAAAAACATTCATAACGGGAACAAATGCACCAATGTATTATTTTTGAAGAGCTACATCGACAGACAAGATACCGGTCATGTTGAACAAGCCAGGACACTCAGGAGCACTGGAATGTCTTCAGCAGAGAGGCAGCCCCACCACGGGCCAGCTGTGGCTGTTGGGTTTGACCTCACACCCCACCACCGCTCCGGTCCACTGGGATCACCCCCCTCTGGCACAGGTTCTCCTCGGCAGTCTTCATGAGCACAGCCAGCCGGCTTTCCGAGATGTACCCCTTGTGGATGGCACTCATCAGCTGCAAGGGAAAG